AGTTTTCAACTTTAACAGCAAGCCATCGTGCCAAACGCGCTCAAAAGCTTCTTTGACGTCAAGAAAGACTGCTGAACTGTACTGCTTGTTTTCGAACGCTCCAAGGATGTTCTGCGTTACCCGATGTGCTTGCTCTGGGGTTCCATGGTGACTTCTAACGCCGAACTGGTGGTCTGGAATGGCGTCCTGCACACTTCTTACTGCCATCATTCTACTAAGGAATATTCTTTCGAATATTTTAGAGAAGGTGGGCAATAGACTTATTGGTCGGTAGGATGCAACAAGGTTTTCCAGTTGTCCTGGATTGGGTATCATCGTTATCACAGCACACTTCCACTGTGTGGGAGAATGGTGGATACGTAACATGGAGTTGAAAAGGAGAACTAGAAATAGTACACCCTTCCTAGGTAACGCCTTGGCAATTCTGCTGTCGATCCCGTCGAAACCGGGAGTCTAACTGCGTTGCAGCTTGCAAATTTGAAGACAGACCTCTTCCGGACTCACATGTGGGATAGGTTCGATCGCCGAGGAGGGGGCATTTAGGAATGCCACGTCTTCAGGCTTAGCAAGATTGAATGGCTGAAAGCGCCATTTCAAAACCTCAGCGAAGGCCATCGAAATTTCGCTGTCTGATTTGCACCACGTGTTGTCGGCACGCCTTTTTGATATTCGGCGAGGGGGCTGTCGTTTAATATTCCTTGTTGCCTTCCAGAGGCTTTGTGGGATCAGCATTGCGGAGCATATCAGCAAAGTATTCACTGTTCGTTCTGAGTAAAAGTATCTTAAGATCGTCCTCAGCACGACGATATTCTCTTTAGTCAGCAGGGTCTCGAGAACGCATAAATCTGCGACGCAATGTCCTTTTAAGGGCATGAGGTGGATCAGATGGGCTGTTTGGTCTTTGGCCGCAGGTTGATGATTCGGCAGCGATGTGAATATTTCGCCCTCCAGAAGCAAAAACCTGCATATGAGATGTGAGTATAATATCCGCTAGAGTTCTGCCCCTAATTGTAGAGTAACGTTATCCCCAGAGACGATGATGCGCATTCTAGTCCCCTGCAGTTATAAAATTTGGCCCACACTCACTAAGAAGTTTTCTTAGTGGTTAGCTGTGAGAGGCGAATTTGGAGGACAATATATAGACGCAATGATTATTTCCCCTTGGTCAGTTTTGACTTTGATCGCAACACACTGAGCCGTTTGGTGTTTTATACATAAAAATTGTTAGTATTTAAGGCATCATTTGATGATAATTGCGGATCCTCCGCGATAACGATCAGCAGGATTGTTTGAAAGATGAACGTCATACGTAGAGCAGAAATGAGTTTCGCTGACCAACATAACGTCGATATGATGTTGTCTTACAAAAAGCTCCATCTCAAGTGACTTGTTGGTCAAGACGTCGGCGTTCCCCACACACCGATTTTGAGTCCAATTTGACTCATGGTTGGGCTGTAAGGGCAGAGTGGAGACCAGCGGCTGCTTGAGCAGATCCTGGCGCTATTTGGGGTAAAATGTTGGTTATAAGGGACATCATTGACATCATCATCTGAAGCAGTTTGTCAAACCGAGCAACAAGGTCACCAAGTTGTTCTTTAGCCAGTTTTCTTCCGATTTTTTCTTGTCGTTTCCATTGCTGATCGTTTTGGAATTGCTCGCGATTTCGTTGATGTTGTTGCTGGAAGGACTGCTGCTGCTGATGGCGGGTCTCTGGGTATTGTTGTTGCGCTGTCGTCTGTATGGTTTGTTTCCGTAACCGAGGGAGGTCATTTGGTTTATGTTGCTGGTTAGACCTCCTATTTCTGGTTGCCAGTGGAGGGAATTGGTTCTGGTGTAGGTTCGCAGGTTGCTGCAACTGGGGTCGGCCTCCGATCGAACAGTCGTCCTTTTTGTAGAGGTTTTTTGGGGAAGAGCGTTACCCTGGGATGAAAGATTTTTTCGGCGTCTTACTGTCTGCTGGTAGACAACACAGCCCTTGAAATTTGGTGTGTGATTTTCACCACAATTAACACATTTCACAGGATGAATATCTCTTTCGCAGGCCTCTATGGCATGTTTCTGACCATATCTCACAGTTATGATCCAGAAAGCAGTTGTTTTTTGTATGGTGGAAGTCCTGGCAACGATGGCATTGTACGACTTCATTCTTTTTGTATGTATATAATTCCACTTGAACAACTTTGTGGATTTCCTTGTTGGTTGGAGATGGCTCTAGTTCAACAAACACTAGGTTGATGAACTTTGTTTTGTCGAAACGGCTTTTTGGTCTATTGATGAAACGAACAATATGGCCAAGCAAGGTAAGGGTTTCTTTAACGTGTTCGTCCATAGTGGAGTGATGAACACCTCGAATAACCACGCAATAAGATCTGTCCTCTTTAAGCTGCCAGGAGTGGAACGGGACCTTTTTGCAATCAAATCTTTACTGATTGCTCTATACGCAGCTGAATCTGCAGCAAGGATCGAAACGGAATTGTTGGAATGACATTTTACGGAGTATTTAGACGGATGTACGATTTTATCTATGGATCGAATAAGCCCGTTCAGATTCTCGCAGTTATTGATTACAATCGACGGTGGCTTGTGATTGGGTGGGTGTTTGTTAGTAGCATTGTCGATAATGTTGTTGTTGTTACTGGAGCTGCCGTGGCTTAAGCCTGTGCTGATGCTGGCCTGATCAGGGTTGTTAACCAACTGGGTGACTGTCTGGTAAGATTGTAAATATTCTTCGGTTGTGTGGATGTCCGAAAGCTCAGAAAAACGTTTGGCGGACTCAGTTGTTTTGGGACTAGTGGAATTTTTCTGCATTTTATTAGCAGAATTGGGAGACCTGGATTCTGGGCGGCGTTTGTTGTTACTTGGGGTCCACCAGTCTTCATCGTCACCGGTTATGGCTTCTAGCTCGGGTTCAATGTCATGGGATCATAAGGGCTGGGCGTTGATGGAGCTGGCTGAGATGTGATTATGATTGAATTTGAATTCGAATTTGAATTCGAAGTAGCGGTGATTTGCCAGATCAACAAATTGCAACTGTTACCTTTTGATCTCTGTTTCACTTGTTTTCGCGATTCACCAGAGCTAACGGAGAGTCTGAGCACTGTCACTGCAGCTTTAGCTGCCGGATTTACAAAAACAAATTGATTTGCCACGAAGGTGGACTTGTCCATAGAATCTTCACAAAAAATTTCGCAGCAATGCAAAAACGCGTCTGCACTCCCCGAAAGCATGATCGAGACTGACTACAAAGAATAAGATTTTTTGACTAATAAAACTCTTAGCCGATCTGAGTACTAGACTTTAAGCCAGGGGTCGGCAGCGGCCTATCTAGTGAGCATAGGGAACTGTTCTGCCCATCCTCTGCTCGCTCACGTATAACGTAGATGTTCGTGTGACTTCGGCACGGGTCTTCGGTCTTTTTTTTCTCGAGGTGCGGCGAGGATCTCAGTGCACAGTGGTCCAGCCCGTAGGCCAAAAATAAAAAAACCAAAGTCCAAATTTTGACTTTAAATGTACCAATTCCTATTTATAATTGGTCTAGCTATTTGAATTTATTCATCTTTTTGTTTTGCTCTGTCTGTCCGCTTCAAGAATAGCATCGAAAGAGATGCATGATATTCATTGTGTATTGCAGCGTAAGCAACGTGCAAGGAAAGCTCTCCGCAAAAAATTTGTTAAATATATATAAAACAAGTGTTTGTGCCATGGAAGTCTTTAATATTTTAAAGAAAGGTATTAACTTTCTTTTTACAATAAAAAGTATATGTAGTATTTGTTGTGTTTCGTGTAAATCATTGTTGTATTTAGCAGGTTCAAATAAAGAAAAGTCGGCTAATTTAAAGGAATCCATATTTAAACATGCTTGTAATTTGGCATATCAGCTTGATCAGGAAGAGTTCGAGAAATGTCTGAACTACGTTTGCAAGGAGCTTGCTAAGTTTTGGCTGAAGTGCAGCGTACCCGATTAGACGTTTTAAGAAATTATTCTAATTGGTTGGCAATAAACGAGACCATAGCTGCGAAACAATGCGATGCGCAACAAGAACCACCAACAGTGGCTCGTGGTCGTCCAAAAAAAAATTTTGCAGAGTGCTCCAAAAGGACGAAACGTCGAAGAATTAGAAACAGCAAAACTACTTATCATTAAATATCCGTGGTACTACCTTCCTGCATCGGTTCATAAAGTATTATTACATGGTCCTGCCATAATTAAAAATTGTTTAGTCTCAATTGGAGAGCTTTCTGAGGAAGCTGCAGAGGCAAAATATAAAGACATTAAATTATTTACGCTAAACCATACGCGGAAAATGTCAAGGGTCCTGACGAATACCGATTTATTGAACAGTTTACTTTTAAGTTCTGATCCTTTTATTGCGGGCCAAAGAAAACTTCAATGCAAACCAAAATCCAAGCTTCTTAAATCACCTATTGATTTACTGGACGAAACTATGTAAAATATGATTTTTTTTAAACATTCATTTGTCGAATTGTTACTACACATATATGTAAATATTAAAGGGTAAGCATATAAATTAAAAAAATTGATTTATTTTATGTTCGTTTTTGTTAATTACATTTATAATTTCTGTCATTATTATTTTAAGGCGAAATAGTATCCCGGCGAAAACTCTTTACACTGGTTGTTCCTATGGCAGCTATAACCTATAGTATCCAGATTTTTACTGAAGTTTCCCAGGTTATATACGAAAATTTCCAAAGTATTGTTGCATCAAAATAAAAAACAATAGTTTTTCATATAAAAACTGAATATCAGACCGATTGTTCATATGGCAGCTATATGATATAGTTGCCCGATCTGGCTGATTTTTACATATTATTTTAGGAAAAATATAAAAAATGTTGTGCAAAGTTTCAAGTCCCTACCTCAACTAGAAGTATTTTTAGCCGCTCTCCCCATACAAGCAGAGAAACGTCAGGCTTCAGCACGCCGCGAGCAAACTTCGTGTTTGTTACACTCACACTAATGCAAGGCAAACCTGCGATGGTATGTGTGTGCCGACCACTGCTTTAAGCAAATAAACCTAAAAGAATAAAGTTAATAATATTATTTATGTATAGATATGCCGAAAATGGTATCAAAAGTTCATCCCCCCCCCCCCCTTTTCATAGTTTTTAAATTTGTTTATTTTTGTGCTGTAAAAGAAAAATGCAAAGCTAATCAAATCCACCAAACAATAAATATGAAAATATAAATATTTATTATTGTTAATAAAATTACTTTAAAATGGGTACTTATCAAAATGCCTAGCAAATCGCGGCAGCGGCGTCGACAGAATCAGCAACAACTCGAGACCGCGTAAAAACACAAATATACGTTCCTTCTTAGCACAGGAAAAATAACAAGGGAAAACGCTGTCGTCGAGTACCTCGACTATCAGATACCCGTTACTCAGCTAAAGGGTCAATCGATAGGTATTGACGAGACTAATACATTTCAGTTAACATTTTTTCTAGCATGAAAATTGTGGGTTCCACAGGCTTATGCGGTTTGTGGGCATTAGAGTGGGCGTGGCAAACTTTGTATACCCGTTACTCGTAGAGTAAAAGGGTATACTAGATTCGTCGGAAAGTATGTAACAGGCAGAAGGAAGCGTTTCCGACCCCATAAAGTATATATATTGTTGATCAGGATCACTAGCCGAGTCGATCTAGCCATGTCCGTCTGTCCGTCTGTCCGTCTGTCCGGATGAACGCTGAGATCTCGGAAACTATGGGAGCTAGGCTATTGAGATTTGGCGTGCAGATTCCTGAGCTTCCTACGCAGCGCAAGTTTGTTTCAGTAGACTGCCACGCCCACTCTAACGCCCACAAACCGCCCAAAACTGTGGCTCCTACAGTTTTGATGCTAGATAAAAAATTTTAACTGAAATGTAATGTTCTCATCAATACCTATCGATTGACCCAAAAAAAAGTTTGCCACGCCCACTTTAACGCCCACAAGCCGCAAAACCCTGTGACGCCCACAATTTTCATGCTAGATAAAAAATTTTAACTGAAATGTATTGGTCTCGTCAATACCTATCGATTGATCCAAACAAAAATTTGCCACGCCCACTCTAACGCCATAACGCTTAAATCTGTATACCGCCGGTAGGTGGCGCATTTTAATCTCGCTTTGCTGCTTGCATATCTCCATTTAGCTGAGTAACGGGTATCTGATAGTCGAGGTACTCGACTATAGCGTTCTCCCTTGTTTTTAAATCAATCGATAGGTATTGACAGACAAATACATTTCAGTTAAAATTTGTATCTAGCATTAAAATTGTGGGCATTACAGATTTGGGCGGGTTGTGGGCGTTAAAGTGGGCGTGGCATCTTTGCGTAACAAACATGCACTTCGTACAGGGCTACGGAATCTAAATCTGAAATCCCAATTCTCTATCTTCTATAGTTTCTGAGATATCCGCGTTCATACTTACGAATTTTTGAAGTTTGTGGGCGGTTTGTGAGCGTTAAAATGGGCGTGGCAAACTTTTCTTTGAGTTTATGGTTTGAAACATCGGCTTGCATTTTAATAATTCTGTGAGCAGTATGATCTAAAAGGTTTTGTAATGATACTTGGGCAGCCGTTTCGGTTACTTTTATATCTACAGGACGGCATTGTAATTTCGATTCCATTACTAGACCATAGGTTTGTCAAAAATACCTCTGCGCGCGTTCAGGATGGTTATAAAGTACTTATTGACAAGGAATTTAATGAAATATATAAAGTAGAGAAATTATAAAGATCTCTTGTTAGCTTGTGAGCGTGCGGCACATGTCTTCCTCCTTTGACGTTGCCAACCGTACTGCCCTATTTTTGACATCTCGGCCTTTCCTGACGGCGATTAGTCTTCTGTTGCGTAGTCATAGTCTTCATCATTGGTATCCAGATCTGACATTAAAGCACACCAAGGCTTCATGTGATCAATGGATACTACGTTGTTGTATCGTCGTTAAGAAACTGAACGATCTGGAAGGTCCTCAATTACGTATCGGTCGTTACACAGAACCTTTGTAACAATATACGGTCCTTTAAAAGCTGGATCCAATTTATGTGTATCTCCTGTCGCAGCTGGAACAAAATCGATCATAACCAGGTCGTCTACACCGAATTTCTTTGGGAAGTATACCTGGCATCATAGCGTATCTTCCATTTTTCCTGCTCTGCTTTAATGTTTTTTTCTGCTTGCTGGCGATTTACTTCAACATTGACTTCTGGTTCAGATTCCTGAGTTAAAGCTTGAATTAACCGATTTTTGGAAATATCTCTAACATTGAAGTTAAATACCGGATCGTTTGGAGTAAACTTTTTGGTGGAATTGATGTTTGTATTCATGCTCCACTGGATTTTACCAAGGTTTTGATCCCAATCCTTATCGTTGGCTGTGCTAGTTTTCAATGCACTTAGTAACGTTTTATTAATACGTTCAGCCTGTCCATTAGCGCGAGGCGTGCGAACGGCTGTTTTGATGTGCTGAATTCCATTTTCATTAATAAAATGATCGAACTCCTTTAATGTAAACGTCGTGCCTCTATCCGAAATCATGCGTACAGGTTGCCCAAAAACGCAAAAAATTTGTTTCAGGGCTTTGATAACTGGTGTCGTTTTTGTATTACGTGTTGGTATAAGAAAGGTGTATTTAGTAAAAGCACACACAACTACCAGTATGTGACAGTTTCCGCTTTTATTTTTTATGAACAGCCCAACGTGATCAATGTTAATTGTTCGGAACGCTATGGGTACTACTTCCTGCAAGTATAGTTTACCCTCAGATTTTCCGGCTTTTACCTTATTCACACAGCATTCAGGGCACGAAGCAATGTAGGACTTGATATATCCACGCATCCTTGGAAGCCAAAAACATTTCTTTAGTCTTTCCAAAGTCTTTTTGGTTTCAAAATGTCCTGCTTCATCATGGTTGCACTTTGTAAAGCGCCATCTGATTGCTTGAGGTATTACCAACTTGTTGCCATCATCAGTTTTCCGATACAATCGACTTTTACAGATGACGTAGTCTGTTTTAATTTGACTCCACTGGTTACTGGCGTTTTGTTGGCAAAAGCCTCAAAGATGTCTTTTATTTTTGGGTCCTGCATCTGCATTGTGTAAATCCAGTCTTCGTCGATGGGAACTATCTTTAAGACGTTGTCTGCTACGGTTATTATTTTGTCCTCCGGTGGATGTACTGGATTCCTACTCATTCCGTCGACATGAGGCATTTGCTCTCCAGGTCGATGTTTGCATTTAAAGTCGAACTCTTGTAGTCGTAGCCACCAGCGTGCGATTGGAGGTTGCAGAGCAGTGGATTCCTTGAGCGTTGCTACAGCGTTGCAATCGGTCACCACTACAAACTCGGATCCAATGAGATAAATGCGGAATCTTTCCAAGGACTCGGTAATAGCTAACACTTCTAGCGCATAGCTTGAGTAGCGGCTCTCAGCATCTGAGCAAAGTCCTTCGTCTTCTTCTTGCAGTAGAACGCCTGCGATACCTTTGCTGCTTGCATCCGTGTGTACTTCGTGGCGCCGAGCTGGATCATAAAGAGTCAATACGGGCTGCGATGTGATAGCTTCCTTTAAGTTTCGGAATGCTGTTTCTTGTTCTTCTTCCCATAGGAACTCTTGACTTTTCTTTGGAAGCTTACTCAAAGGAGCTGCCATTATGCTATACTCCTTGACGAACTTGCGGAAGAATCCAGTGATGCCGAGAAATCTGCGTACATCAGCATCGTTTTGCGGCGTTCCATAATTGCTGATACATATGGTTGTCCTAAAAACTTGACCTTACTCTGCAGGAAGGAACATTTGGATGGCCGTAAAGTTAGACCAGCTGAGCGGATTGCTTGTAGAAACTCGTTTAGAATGACAAGTCCTTCGTCAACTGTTTTCGATGGTATAATGACTTCGTCTACATAACTTATTATGTTGCGTTGGTGTTCTAGCTGTCGTAGCAAATCCATGATGACCTCCTGAAATACCATTGGTGCATTTAGCAAGCCAAATGGCATTACGTTGAACTCGTAGAGTCCATCAGGAGTCAGAAATGCCGTAAATTTCTTGCTTTCCTGGCCCATTGGAATCTGGTAATATCCTGAAGTCATATCCAGAGTTGTAAAGTACGAGTTTCCAGACAGCTTGGCTAATTGTTCTTTTACAATTGGCATTGGATATCGCTTTCTTACAGTGACTGCGTTGAGAGCTCTATAGTCGATGCACAGTCGACTTTCTCCGTTTGTTTTGGGGACTAATATCGCCGATGATGCATATGGTGAGGTGCTCTTACTGATGATGTTGTGCTTGAGTAGGAGATCTAACTGAGATCGGAGTGCATCCCTTTTAGAAAATGCAACTTGGTATCGCCTACCCAGTATCGGTGTTGCCGTTGTCACCTCGATGTCCATTACAGTGGTGTTGCATCTGCCAATATGGGAAAGGTCTTTGGCAAAGCAATCTGTATATCTATGCAACATATAGCACACTTCATTGCGCTGGGAGCTACTGACGTCAGCGCTTATATTAAAGTTGATTGCTGATTCCTCTGCTTGCATTATCGAGCCTGAATTTCCAACCTGTTCGTAGTCCTTACTACAGAGTAAGTCTCTGCCCATGAGAACGTCGTAAGGAAGAATGTCATCGGGTACAATATGAATGCGTATATAAATTTCGCTGCGTTCTGTTTTCACCGAGGTAAGTATACATTCCTTAGTCTCCACTATTGATCCACCAAATCCTTGTAAACGTTTTACCGATTTCTGTCGAATTGATCCGCTTGGAACAGCAGACTCTCTAATAAGTGTATGATCGCTGCCAGTATCGACGAATGCTGAAAACTCTTTTCCTCCAAGCTCAATAGTCTTCATTATGGGTGGGTACTCCTTGGTGTTTGCTGCGTCTACTTGAGCGACTGATGATACCTTTACCCTGCAATCCTTAGCTTCATGCCCAACCTTTGAACAGATTGAACAGCGTGGCTTTTTCTGCGGATCTGTACACTTGGCAGCACACTTTGGTCCTTTGGGCTTAGCCTCACCCCCTGCTACATCTTGGCCTTTCGTGTAAACATACTGAGAAGAAGCACTTTGTTGCTGCAGTGTTTGCACTGTTTTCATATTGTCCAGAGCCCTAAATAGTTCTGAACACGTCTGAAGATTCATAGCTAACAAAGCCTTCGTGCAGTCGCTTTGGTTCAATCCGTTAATAATATAAGAATTAATAGATGGCTCATCTATATTAGCTCGTCTTCCAATTGCCATCATGATGGAAAATCTTGTAAAAGGGCAGTCTTAAACTGTTCCCAAGATTGGAATACAGTCTGTGCATCTAACCATTCGTTAGCGACACCTCTTATTTTATGCTGTATAGCAAACAATACTGTCCCATCATTCCATTCATAAACGCGTTGCAACTGCTCGGTTTTGCTTATAAACTGTTGAGAAGTGATGTTGCCCCTAACTGGATCATACTCGGGCAACACAACGATCACATCCTTGATGATGGTGTTGGTGTAAGCAGTGCGTTCGGGGCTTTCTCTGATCCTTTGATGAGGTTGTTCTTGGCCTGGTGGTGGTATGCCTAACGTGTTTGCCTGACGTTGTTGTTCCAAAGCAGCCGGTGGACCTGCGGCGCTCCCTACGTTAGCTCGCCCCGAAGTCGCACTTTCCTGTTGAACACTTAAGGCCTGAACCGTTTGGGATAAGCTGATCATCAACTGCTTCAGCTCGTCAATTTGAGATTGTACGGTATTTGAATCGAAATCGTAGTCATCGCGTTCGATTTCATCACATCCCAAGATCCGTGTGAGTTCGTCGATTTTGGCCTTTTTGTTTCCGACTCCTGGAATATTGTTCGTGCGTAGAATAATATCCAGATCGGCAAGCCTTAGTTGACCTAGTTTAACTAACATTTTTAGTTAACCTCGTGGTCCGTGGCTCCTTCTCAAGTTTTTTCTCACTCTTGGTGCTTTTTCACCGCTTTTTCCCTCTATATGCTTCTTAAAAAGTGGCCGTATTGCCGTTCTGCCTTTTTACCGCCTTACTTTTGACTATGTTGCTTAGCCCATTGTGGCGTTGCCGTTTTGTCAAATTTCGTAGTCCTTCATTCTCCTTTCTTCGTGAATAAAATGCAGCTTTTTATATCTTTTATTTTGCTGTTTGGAGCTCGTATCCCACTTCTGAATTGTCAAAAATACCTCTGCGCGCGTTCAGGATGGTTATAAAGTATTTATTCACAAGGAATTTAATGAAATATATAAAGTACAGAAATTATAAAGAACTCTTGTTAGCTTGTGAGCGTGCGGCACATGTCTTCCTCCTTTGACGTTGCTAACCGTACTGCCCTGTTTTTGACAGGTTGGATAAATGTTACTGTGGCGACTTTTATTCATAAGTCTAGTGTTCATGTATTGCTGTTTTATAAGTGAATTTTCCAGGAAGTAAGCCAAAGCTTCATCGAATTGCTTTCTCGATTCAGTTGAGTATTCGGGTGTTGTTATGGCTTTTTTTTAAAACAAAAGCCGTGTCCTTCTTGTTTTGTTTCTTTGAAGAGACTGCTGCAGCATGTGCAAGAAGATTTGTGTCACCATTATTTTCATTTGCAAGCTCAGATGCCAATTTGCTTTTTAATCTTGTACCCGCATTCGTGTAAGATAAGGTTGGACGTCCCATTCGCTGTAGTGTCTTGCAGGTTTCATCGATGGTAATTGATATTTTAGACGCCAACTATACAGTATGCTTAGACATGAACCGTTCAAGCACGTAGTTACATTTGGGATGATATTTATGAATGTATGTAACTATTAAAATTACTGATTTTTTTGTCAATTTCCCTTATTGTCTTGGATTCCACAGCGTTTTTATTAATTTTGGTGTATATCCAAACCGATACACATTGAATTTTTCGATTGCTGCTGCGCCATATTTCGATAAGTTCGCTGTGAGTAAACTCAAACGTGCCTATATATTACCAAAATGTGAGAAAAGGGGGACGAACGGAGATGAGTTTTTGGTTTGTGGCTAAAGACAACACTCACAAGTACAATCTGGACCAATTAGTTGCTTTCAGCATGGAACACCTTTTTAGTTATATTCCACGAAACACGAATCACGCATGTTAGTTTTCTAAAAAAATACACATAAATTGGACTTTACACAACACTAAATACCTAGAACTATACATAAAATTACAATATACATTAAATAGTGCATACCTTGAAGATTGCTTTCCATAATTTAGTGGAATTTTCTGGACCAATTTAACACGTGTGGCACAACATAAAGCAACTAAATATATTGGCGCTAATTTCTGTTCGGAAATCAGCTAATCGCTAGCTCACTTTTAAAAGCTCTCAAAAAGCTTTGGTGGCGCTTTTAAAGCTTTTCATTAAATTTATGTATGTCTATGATGCATTTACTTTAAGATTAAAATAAGAAAACAACGATATATTAACATAGAGAAATCGACTTTATGCCAAAAAAAACGACATCTGGACCATAGTGCAATGCACGCACATTTTAGCTTTGGCTAAGCATGTACATGTATTTGTACGTTTAATAGTAACCCTTCAGTTCCAAAAAAAAAGTTTCACTTGTGAATCACCTTGGGAATCACCTGGGACATGCCCTCGTGCACAAGTGAAGAACAAGTGACGCTCCATATAGAAAATTGTATGGGATGTCCGCATTTTCACAAGTGAAAATTCAAATGAAAATTTTTCGAAGTCCTACGGGATTTCACTTGTTCCTTATACTCATTTTTCGTATGGCCTGTCACGTGCCGGTGACTCGTCCCAAGTGAATCACTTGGGAAAATCAGAATTTTTCCTTGAGTTTTCACTTGTGAAATCACTTGCAAGGGACACGTCCCAAGTGAATCACTTGTGAAAATCAGAATTTTTCCTTGAGTTTTCAATTAAAAAAATATAGAATTTAATTCATTTCATTTTAATTCATTTTAATTATATGGTACTATTTAGATTTTCAAAAATTGTACAATTATTGTTTCTGTTCTTTTGCTTCGTAACCTTATTTTTAACGTTAGACATCGCCGTTCTTAAACCTTTGTCCGGATCCTCTGAATCCTTGGCCAACGCTCCTAAAAAAACATATGTTTAAAAAATGCGTTTTATTTGTTTAATTGTATATTTACCTTTTATAGCTTGTTGCAGAATTTTTATTGGCACAAAACATTTCGTCATCCACTTTCGGCTAACGGAACCCATTGAATACCTTCAAAATTTACGTACTTTAAACTAAGATCAATGCACAACATCTTAAACTTAATGTAGCACTTACCTGACTTTATTATATTAACTAAACGATTAAAGTAACTCTGCTGCGCACCATTAAAATGGATGCTTCCCTTTCAATCACTCAAACAGAATGCACCAAGTCTTCTCACCCCTTTACTAGATTTCTTTTGTTTTCTCTTCGCTGTTGGCGCGTGCCACTGCACCTATACCCTTTCTAAAGTAAAATATATCCGACTATATAGATTTTACTTCTTGAGTAAAAAATACAATACGATTTTTTTTTAAATGTTAATACTTAAATGTTTTAAATACTTAAATCAATTTTAACGGACTAAATTTCTATAACTTAACTATAAAATTATATTGTAATAAGAATGTATAATAAGTAAATATAACATTATAAGTAAATTCAATTTACTAAATTTTACTATAATCAAATAGTTTACTTTTATAAAACAATATTAGTTGTTTTTTTCGCACATGTCGCTTCTTCACGAAAATTTTTCCGCCGAAATATTAGTCGCTAGCCGAACATAACGGAGAGACGCAAAAAAAATAACGGACCAGCCGAAATTTGTCTCTGCGAGCGCGGAGTGCAGGCAGATTATAAGACAAGAAAGAGAGGGAAATATCCGAATATCTGCCTCTCTTTGTTGCACGATCGTTTTCGTGGGCAGTCTTCTACGCTGCGCCGACTGCTCTGCTGACGTCAACAGCGGCACAGCGTTTTAGGCACAAAAAAAGCTTTTTGCCTTGAGCCATGTCACCGCGTCCCTACTGCAGAACTGAAGGGTAGTACCATATAATTAAAATGAATTAAAATGAAATGAATTAAATTCTATATTTTTTTAATTGAAAACTCAAGGAAAAATTCTGATTTTCACAAGTGATTCACTTGGGACGTGTCCTTTGCAAGTGATTTCACAAGTGAAAACTCAAGGAAAAATTATGATTTTCCCAAGTGTTTCACTTGGGACGTGTCCCTTGCAAGTGATTTCACAAGTGAAAACTCAAGGAAAAATTCTGATTTTCCCAAGTGATTCACTTGGGACGAGTCAACGGCACGTGACAGGCCATACGAAAAATGAGTATAAGGAACAAGTGAATTCCCGTAGGACTTCGAAAAATTTTCATTTGAATTTTCACTTGTGAAAATGCGGACATCCCATACAATTTTCTATATGGAGCGTCACTTGTTCTTCACTTGTGCAAGAGGACATGTCCCACGGGATTCACAAGGTGATTCACAAGTGAAACTTTTTTTTTGGAACTGAAGGGTATTAACAAGAAGAACGATATAGTCGAATACCTCGACTATCAGATACCTGTTACTCAGCTAAAGGGACCAAAGGGAAATGGAGATATGCAAGGAGTAAAGCGAGATTGAAATGCGCCACCTACCCGCGATCTCAATATATGGTTATGCGGGCGGTAAACAGATTTATGCGTTATGGGAGTTAGAGTAGGCGTGGCAAACTTTTCTTGGGGTCAATCGATAGGTATTGACGAGACTAATACATTTCAAAAACCTTTGTATGTATACATTTCAAAACCTTTCAGCTAACATTTTTTTCTAGCATGAAAATTGTGGGCGCGACAGGCTTAGGCGGTTTGTGGGCGTCGATTTTTTTTTGGATTAATCGATTGGTTTTAACAAGACTAATACATTTCAGTAAAAATTTTGTACCTAGCATAAAAATTGTGGGCACCACAGATTTATGCAGTTTGTGGGCGGTAGAGTGGGCGTGGCCTCTTCGCGTAACAAACTTGCACTTGCACATTCTCTATCTTCTATAGTTTCTGAGATATCCGCGTTCATATTTACGATTTTTTTTAAGTTTGTGAGCGTTAAAGTGCGCGTGGCAAACTGTTTTTTGGGTTAATCGATAGGTATTGCTGAGGACAGTACATTTCATTTTATTCCAGCATCAAAACTGTAAAAGCCATAGTTTTGGTCGGTTTGTGGGCGTTAGAGTGGGCGTGGCACATTTCTGAAACAAACTTGCGCTGCGTAAGAAGCTCAGGAACCTTCATGCCAAATCTCAATAGCCTACCTCTTATAGTTTCCGAGAGACAGACGGACAGACGGACATGGCTAGATCGACTTGGCTAGTGATCCTGATCAAGAATATATACACTTTATGGGGTCGGAAACGCTTCCTTCTGCCTGTTACATACTTTCCGACGAATCTAGTATACCCTTTTACTCAACGAGTAACGGGTATAAAAAGTGATCTAAGACTACAAAGATTGCTACGTTACCGCTGCGCGACCGCTGTATGCGTGCCATGGGAGGCCATCAACCACTTAAGCGAAGCATGGTCTGTGACAATGGTGAAGTCGTGGCCTTCTACTGAGGGACGAAACCGCTTAACGCTCACTATCGCCGCCAAGCACTCTTTCTCAGTTACAGAGTAGGTACTCGATCAGGTATTCGTCTCTCTCTTCCGTCTTCTGGATCAAAACGCCCCCACGCTTTTGCTGGCATCGCAGTGAATATAAAAAGCTTTTGAGCAATTCGAGCTTCTAAGTACATGTGCCGAACATAGTTTTCGTTTTAGTTCCGAGATTGCCTCCTGCCCGTCCTTCATCACCTTAAACCTTTTTTTTGCCATTAGTTAGACGGTGAGCGGTGCAGATACCTTATCAAAACTATCAAACTCTTTAGAGATTTGGGCAGCGGAAGCTGCTCAGTAGCTGACACCTTTTCCGGATCTTTGCGCTCCCTCCCCGATTATATGAATTAAATATTTCACCTCTTGTATACAGAAATACCTTTTTTGGAATTTAATGGTCAATCCACTGCCCGGATGCAATCAAGTACTGTCTATAGGAAGTGGACGCCCTGGTTTTGTGAACGCGGTCTTATCCTTAGAAGCTGGATCCTGCTGCCATCAGCAGCAGAAATATTTTTAAGGACTATGAATGGATATGTTACTTCCGAGAATCTCCTGAGTAAACTGACCACCACTACAGATCCTTGCTGCCAAAATATCCATCAGGCCTTTAATTTCCCTATCATTTATTTTGTTAATTGTATAAGGCTGGTCGACACAAGTGTTTCGAAGGGCATTTAAATCTTTTGAAACTTTCCAAAAACGTTTTATATATACGTTATATACTCTTGATCAGGATCACTAGCGCAGTCGATCTAGACATGTCCTTCTGACTTTTCTCCCCATTGAAACTATAAAAGCTAGAAAGCTGGAACTTGGCATATAGATTCTTTAGCTTCTTGCACAGAGCAAGTTTATTTTAGCACTGTTCTACATCCACTCCAACGCCCAAAACGAAAAACCCGTCTAGTACCCACGTTTTTTAATATTTTGTAAAAATTTCAATTTGATTTGTTTTTATTATTTATATTCATCTACATGCCAAAAATTATTTATATCTGGCCATTCATTAAAAAGTTATAGACAAATACAGTGTACAATCTTGGTTACAATTGCTTTGCTGCTCTAATATCTCCATCTCCCTTGCACTCCCTTAGTTGAGTAACGGGCATTTGATAGTCGATGGCATCGACTATAGCTTTCTCTCTTGTTTTTCTCTGAAGAGAACAAATCAGATGACTTATTACAATGTTGTTGCGGGATATCGCATATCCAATTACCATCGGTAACCATGGCGGCCATGCCGTGCAGGGGCGTGGACCTGTTATTGCTTATGTTTGGGGAAAAATAGTTACAATATGGGCAATACCTTAAGGGTTGTCTGACTTACAGCATGTCCGACAGCAATCACAAAGAAAGTGGTAAAAAGCTTGCCAATAACTTGGCTCAAGGGGAACCTGAACTTTCTTGGCCTTATTTTGAGTCGAGAATTATTAATTCCAAAGTGAACAGTGTGAAACTTGATTGGCCGTTATTAATAGATGCAACGGTTTACAGCATAGAGAAGTTTCACAAACGCCTTGGCTGGCTTCAGGTTGAGTGGAGTACCCGCTCTCCCGTAGAGGTTACTAATATGGAAGAAAACTTCGGATATCGACTGCGCATTAAAGCCTTGAAAGTTTCGGAAGACGGAAGCCGCTATG